AGACTAAGAGGATCTTATTCACAAAATATATGACTAAATATTTATGTGCCAAAGCACTGTTTCTGACTAAAATCACGTAGAAGGAAACTTTTCCATCTTTTTCAGTTTTTGAGACTAGAGGCCACTGTTACATGGGAGACATCTGTGATCTCCTGAACAGCATTTTGGGCTGAGCTCAGGGATCAGATGCTGCCAGTTAAACCCATACTCCCTCTACAAAGTTATGGGTAAAGGGAGTACTAACCTTGAGTGTCTGTACTTGGTGTTATATAAAAAGTGTTCTCACGGTAGAGTGGCTATTCAGTTTTAATATATGAGGAAGGATCAGCAAGATTAATAACTCTACAACAAGTAGTTAATGGCAGAAGCAGAATTCTAAATGAGGCCTGCCAGACTCCAGTGTCCATTTTTTTTTATTTTGTTAAATGAGGTGCTTGCTTTGTATTGTTTCTTCTCTGATATTTCTTCTTGAAATTTCTCATGAAGATTGAGTCAGCAGAGGTCTTCATGAATGCGCTTGCTGTATTTTTTCTAATTTATCACTAAGTTGACTTAAATTTAATTCAGTACAGTGAGTATCTAATTGCTCATCCTGGCACAGAGAGGGAGCACACATGGGTTGGCTTGTTTTTATAAGATAAATGAATATTCCATATTTTGGATAGGGGCCTTCAGCCTCCATCATTTGACAGTTTTAGCAACATAATTTGATATGGAGTTTTTCAAGTAGAGTCCACTGATAGTTAAATAACCTCACTTTAGTTATTCTAGAATTGCAGCACAGAATGGACCAATGACCCCTTTTGAATAAAATCTGTCAATTGCTTCATTTATTGCATATATATATTGTTTGCTTAATATGTTCTTGTTCAAGAATAAGAAGCCAAACTTGACAATCTGTAGGGTTTTAATGTCAAATAATTCCAGGGTAGTTCTCTGTTACTATCAAAAACTAACAATTTTCCTCTTCCTCATTGTTGAAAGAAGATGAGTGATAAGGTTAAGTCTCAATATTCTGCCTTCTTTGCCTTTGTCTTTCCCACCTTTTCTTAGTCTTTTCATGCATTCTTCTCTCATTACATCTGAATGATAATCAGAGACATCATTTTCCCCATTCTTTTGCTTTCTTTTAACACTTTGAAGATAGATCCACAGGGAATTAAAATGTAATTAGATAACTAAATTATTAAAGTTTACTGTTAGTAGTTTGAAATATTTCATTGTCATTAGATCAGTTTTACTTTCCTTGACTATTTTGTCTGAGGTATACTCTCTCCAAATAACTTATTTATTCATCTTCCATTCAGGCTAGAAATACTTATTCCATGCTTATTGTGTTCTAGGCACCGTGCTAGGTTTATCAACCTTATTTCTTCCAAAGTCCATGTGGTTCTCACACACCACGTGCCACCTTGGCCTGCATATTAGTGATATGCAATTTTCAGCCTCTTCCAACCCTCTTTTCCCCATTCAGGGAATAATATCTGAATTCAGGAGAATGAGAGAGATGGGGATTAATTTTGAAACCATTCTAGTGTATAAGAATAGCGAATTATTGTGAACATTCAACATGGAAGTTCCTAGTTGCTTAGGACTAACTGATCTTGATGTTCTGGTGAGCCAGGATGCTTCTGAACTCATGAAGATAAATAAAGTCTTGGATCATCAAGAAAAAGGCCTTGTGCTGGAGGTAGGGAATATCCAGATAATTTTGTTATTTAAGGTAAAATGTGATGTCATTAGCAATACAAAATCTTTCTAACGTATTTCTGGGAAAGGACAGTTTAATTTGCGGAGTATTAAAAGAGATATATAGTATCTATAGTGTCCTTTCAGCTTCATGCTAAGAAGTAGAACAGTAGGGGTAAGGGTGGGAGTGGTTAATATAATTATTTTAAACCCCCAAACCACATCTACTATCCATTAATTTGATTCTTGATATCTATTTTCTGTTTGAATATTGAGATTATCCATACAGACACAAAGACACATATACTTAAACACATTCACACATAAATGAAATAGCATAATCAAAATCCTTAAGGCTAAATGATATATTTTTCTCTAGGCATGATCAATCACTTTGACCTTGCTAGTTGATAACAACTTATGGATTCCCATTGATTTAAAATGTGTGATGTGGCCCTGACTGGGTAGCTCAGTTGGCTTGAATGTCCTCCCAATACACCAAGATTGCGGGTTCAGTCCTCGGTTAGGGCTTATACAGGAACCAACCAGTAAATGCATAAATAAGTAAAGCAACAAATGGATGTTTCTCTCTCCCTTTCACTCTGTCTAAAACCAACAAGTTTTTAAAAAGTAAACTTTACTTAAAAAAAAAGTTTTCTCTCATAAAATATTGGGCCTTCAATTATGGTTTTAATTATCACTCAAGCAGTTCATTCTGAAGTGATTAATACGCCACAAAAATAACCATTTCCTTTTCTCTATATATAACATTGGTATTTTTGGAAATTGGGTTGCCTGTGCCAAGTTTTATTTGTAGATAAAATGGGAATTGTTAAATGGTCTATCATCAGTTCACAAGAAATCTTTGTTCCTTTATTAAGAGCAAACTAGATAAGTATTTCCATTTAGAGTTTTCAGTAACTTCTTGTACTCTTGAGGCAGCCACACAAATCTTGTAATTGCTGCAGATATTCAACAGAAATTTCTTGCTTAAAAAACCACAGGAACATAGTTTTCTCTCCCCCCCTTTCTTGACTAGACATGGCTTTTAATAAATTGCAACACAAGAAATAATTTGAATGTTCACCAATAATGGAATATTTGGATAAATTGTGATACATTCTTATTTTGGAATATTACATAGTTATTCCCAAATGAGAATGATCAAGATATACTGAGTTAGAGAAAAGAGTATGATATAGGAAATTTAAAAATATTAATGGCTATATTTATTTGTTATATTTGTATATTAAAAGGGGACAGAATGATGTAGTCCTTAAGGATATTAAAATTGGATAGGATAGGCAAGACAGGTAAGAGGGGGTGGTGGTATTGATAATACAGAAGAGAATTCAGAAGTGGACTCATACACCTGTGGCAATTTAGGATAGGATAAAAGTGGCATTTCACAGGAATAGGAGAAACCTGAATTATTTAATAAATAGTGTTGGAACAGTTATTATTTAGAAAAAAAGAAGAAGCTATTTCTCTTCCTCACTCCTTTTGTCAGAATGAATTCTAGGTCAAATATTTACATTTTTTAAATGATGAATCATACAAGTTCTAGAATGAACATTATTATTATTATTATTATTTTTTATTTATTTTTTTAATTTGAAGACCTAAGCATGACTCCAAATACAGAAATAATTAAGGAAGGATAAATTTGCCTATGCCATATTGTTTTGAAGGCACGAGAACTGGATTAATCTTGAAACTATATGTGGACCCCATTTTTAGCAACATGGCCTTAAAAGTTTATTGATATTACTTTTCAAGCATTTGGTCCAAGACAAACTTACACTGACCAAAAAAAGTCACTATCCTGTGTTTTCAGCAACTGCATTTGTGTTTGTGATTGTCAGCATGAACCATTTAAATTGATGGCATTTAACTTTATATTTGAATGTTTTCATAAGTATGTTTAAAACATAATTTGTATATTGTTACTTCAAACGAATGAATGAAAAATGAAACATCAAACATTGTGATAATGTAAGAAATTCAACATGTATAGCTTACCTCTGTCTGGACTTGGGGCTGGACATGATGATGTAGGTAAATCTCATTTTATGCTATTTTCACCTTTACAATATAGGTGTTTTTATTGGGTTAATAAAAAAAAGTTTTTATTAAACTTTTTTTAGTCATTGAAAAGTAATGTAGAATTTTGGGCCCCTAAAAGATTTGTCATATCCATGGCCTGACTGATGCCTAGCTGTTTCAGCGAATCACCCATTAAGGGGGGAAAAACAAGGGAGTAAAACTTTGTCACTGATTGCAGCATGTATGTAATGCAGAGACACAAAGGGATTTGCAATTTGTGTGTCGCAGTGGGTACTGAGGCTATTCACCCCACTGACTGAACTATAGTATTCCAGCACTGTGTCCTCAGAGGCTGCACATAACTAGCTTTTGACAAATGTGTGTCAGTCCTGGCTGGTGTTGCTCAGTGGTTGGAGCATTGGCCTGCATGCCAAAAAGTTGCAGGTCCCATTCTCCATCAAGGGCATGTACCTGGTTGCAAGTTCGACCTTCAGGCCAGATCATGGCACGTGTGAGAGGCAATCAATGTTTCTCTCTCACATCAGTGCTTCTCTCTCTCTCTCTCTCTCTCTCTCTCTCTCTTTCTCCTCCCTCTCTTTGAAAATCAATAGAAAAAATTATCCTCTGGTGAGGATTAACAACAACAACAACAACAAAAGGTGTCATTTTATGAAAGTTTTATTTTAAATCCAAAACATTTTATTCTTACAAAGTATTCATCTTATTTAATAATAATTTCAATCTCTGATTTATCATAGTGTAAAATACAACATTTATGTAAATTATTATAATAGGAGCCATTATTATAATAGAGAAGGTATAGAGGACCTTTTGTGAGCATCTTTGCTCCCCTGGGAGTATTTTTCACATTTCTCTGATGGGAAACTTTGAGAAACACTGCCCTGAATAAATATGAATGGGTGACAGCAATTTGTAATCATCCTAACACTTTATTTGGGTTTTGAGTTCTGAGGGTACAGAGTACAAGAAAGTAGATTTCATAAAAGGCAAATTTTATTCGCTCAGTTTGGCACAATAAAATGAATGTTTGATTTATGTACTTAGAATTCTTACTGAATTCAGTAAATGCCTAAGCTGGTGGGCACTTTAGTCATTAAAACTATAATCCAACACAGAACACAATTAATTAATTAATTAATTAATTAATTGAACTATAATCCAATTAAAGCTAAGGAAGCTAAATAAACTAATTGTAATCAAATTTACTTTGACTTCTGTTTCTCTCCCTTCTCCCCTTTCCACAGGTCACAGTAATGAAAGGCAGTAATAGAAATAAAGATCATTCAGCAGAAGGAGAAGGGGCTGGAAAACGACCAAAGCGGAAGTGTCTTCAGTGGCATCCACTGCTGGCCAAGAAACTTCTTGACTTTTCAGAAGAGGAGGAGGAGGAAGACGAAGAGGAGGATCTTGATAAGGCAATTCCTCTATTTACTATAGAAGTTTTAAGTTTATTTAAGCATTTACCCTAGAAACTTCAGTGAATGCCTATGGTGTGAAAGATGCATTTCTAAAAGTTTGTGTAACGCGAATCCTATTTAATTACTTGACCTACTTTTTTATTGATGATTCTCAGAGTGTCTGTACTTCCTAATATTGTAGACTAAACAGATCCTTCTTCAATGGTATTTCCATGAATTAACTAATGATTTGAAAGTAATATGAAGATGCAGTAGAGATGGGGATAATTCAGAAAATTCGGTGTGCTCACCTGGCACCCACCTGTTGTCCCTCTGGCCTCTTCCTTTGCTTCCAGCCTGGCCCTGCCACCATCGCAGTCGCAGAGCTGTTCAGGTCCTCATCTCTGTGGCACCTGGCTGCTCTTACCCCACCAAGCCTCGGTGGTAGTCAGTCCTTCAAGTCCCCTTCTCTGGAATCACACTTGAGCTTCCCACTCTTGTTTAGAAAGACACATAACCATGCAGGTGGCCTTAGAAAGGCACATATTCTTCCAGAATTCGGCATAAGTCCTCATTAGGGACTATATCCCCAACAGTTGGGATCTCGTCATTTCATTCCTTCCCATCCATCTCATTCCAGATCTAAGGATTTCCTGCCTAGCACTTCTGACTATTGGCTTTGTGTTTAATTGTCCTTGTTCACACCTGTTTTGCTAAACTGGACTATAAGCTCAATAAGACCTTGCCCCTCTTGTGTTCCTCTCCTTCCTTAGAACTTAGAATGGTGCCTGGCACATAGTAGGTATTCAATAGATATATGCTCAGTGGAAGAATAAATGAGTACAGATTTTGTGTCACTATAAATTTTATAAACACATTTTTTTAAATTTTTGTTTTATTGCTTAAAATATTACAAAGAGTAGTCCATATGTCCCTCCCCCACCCCCCCTTGATCTTCAGGCCTTTGACATCCATTCATCCTTTTGCTCTTGGGTTTGTGTCAGCTCCCTCTTCCACCATCTCAGCTGGGATTGTAGACATTATTTTGCTTCTCAGACATCTTTTCTGGATACCCTTTATGGTTTTTCTCCCGACCCTTTTCTCTCTTTCATAGAGAGAATAGAGACCATCACAAATGACTTCTTCAGTTTCTTCTCCACTCACCTGTGCGTAGTTCTCACTCCTTACCCATATTCTCCTCCTCCTTTCCTTGTTCAGAGAAATAGGTTTTACTCCTTATTTTTGAGGAAATTGCCAATTTATACCTAATTTGATCTTTCTGCCACATTGGCACCTGTTAGTCACTTGGTCCTTGAAGCTGTCTATTTCCATGACATCACTCCTATTTCTATTCCCACTTTCCCAAACGTATTTTCCTAGTTTCAGTTCATGCCCCTTCATTATTCTACTTTCAAATGTTGATTTCTTCTGGGCCTCTTATTTTAATATCTGTCTTTATCCCGGAGCTTTCTTCTAAATTCTGGACTTGAATTTATGTGTGATCAGAAGCTCAGTTTCAATGTGTTTAAAATGAAGCCATGATCTTTCTCTCTTTCAAACCTCATTCTTCTGCATCTTCTCTTTCCCAGTAAGTGGCAACTCCAACGTTCAAGTCAGTGCAACCTGAAACCTTATCTATTTTCTTTTGTACAAGTTTCACATTTGTATACCCATCAGCAAATTATCAGCTATACCTTCAAAATATGTTTTCAGTTTGACCCCTTCCTGGCATCTTCACTATTACCAACTTGATCCAAGCCACCACCATTTCTGGGGCAGATTATTTCTCTCTCTCTCTCTCTCTCTCTCTCTCTCTCTCTCTCTCTCTCTCTCTCTCTCTCTCTCTCTCTCTCTCTCTACAAAATATGCCTGTGCTCTTGCCCTTCTACAGTCTGTTTTCAACAAAGCAGCCACAGGGTTCCTTTCTAAGTGGAAGGCTGGTCTTGCTGCTCTTCTGCATCATGAGGGCAGGAATTTGTATGCTGACTGCTCTGTGCGCATCACCTGCAATAGTGCCTACTAGCCCGTATTAGGTGCCCAGTAAACAGTTACTGAGGGAAAGAAGGAAGTCACTGAATCCTCATCTCTTCAGTCCACATCCAGTGATCTCATCCACACTCTTAGTCGTAGTACCTTGATAATTGATACCTCAGTTCATTATTCCAGCTGGAACTTTGCTGAGAGCCACTTCAAATTCTGCCTGCTCATTACTCATCTTTCTGCTCCCACTAGATCTGATTTCTTTGAGAAAGCGTGTTCTCTTTGTGTATGAAGGAGTCTTGCCACTGAAGCTATAAACACTCCTCCTTTTGCAACCTTTAAATCCAGTTATATACCACTCTTGGCTCTACCTCATAAATTAATATTGTCTCTGTTCACACTTACCTGTTCTCATGGTTACTGCCCTGACTTAGCCCTGTTCCCTTTCTCTCCTGGACAGCTGGAATAAACTTTTATCTGTTCTCTTAGTTTTGTTTCTCAGACATCTTTTCTGGATACCCTTTATGGTTTTCCTCCCGACCTTTTTCTCTCTTTCATAGAGAGAATAGAGGCCACCACAAATGACTTCTTCAGTTTCCTCTCTACTCACCTGTGCATATTTCTCACTCCTTACCCATCTTTTCCTCCTCCTTTCCTTGTTCAGAGAAATAGGTTTTACTCCTGACAAGATTCATCTTAAAATACAAGGTCTGTGGTCTTAAGCAGGGTTTTCATATCCTGGTCTAGTACTAGTATTTATTTGTTGCAAAGTATTACAATACTCGGCTTTGGTTGAAAGAAAAATAGATTCAGGTAGTTTTTCATTTTAATTTAATGTATTTATTCAGATATTTACCTGTTGATTCATTTTTTGGTTAGTTACCATTATTATTTAGTAGTTAAAAACATATTTTTTATGTCCATACTTGGCAAAATAAGAAGTTGGCTATCTGTGTTGGTCCCTCCCAAGGTTTTTTATTGGCCCATACATTCTGAAACCACTTGTTCACATGATTAAATGCATGTGTTTTTAGGTGACAGAACACACACTTCATGAACTTGATCCTACCTTCTATAATCTCATGTCCCAGATCCCTGTTCTAATCTGCTATTGAACTGCATATCCATGTTTTAATAAACCACTGAGCCCCTATATGATACATTTAAAAAATATGTTTTATTTATCTTAGAGAGGTATAGAGAGAATCATCATTGAGAGAGAAACATCGATCAGCTATCTCCTGAACTGGGGATTGAGCCTGCAACCTGAGTATGTGCTTTGACTGGAAATCGAACCTATGACCTCTTGGTTCATGGGTCAGTTGATGCTCAACCACTGAGCAACACGGGCCAGGCCATAGTACATTAAAAAAAAAAATTTGTTGAAAGTATTACATTTATTTCCCTTTTCCCCCATTGACTTCTTCTAACCTTCTTCCCATGTCAGGCCTTCACCACACTACTTACTGTCTATGTCCATGGGTTATGCATTTATGCATACAAGTTCTTAGTTTGATCTTTACCCAACCACCTCTGCATTCCTTCAGAGATTCAGTAGTCTGCTCCATGCTCCTATGACTATGGATCTATTTTATTCATCAGTTTATTTTGTTCCTTGGATCCTTCCTTTTTACTGATCCATGGTGTAATTGTACCACAGCTTTTTTATCCACTCATCTTCTGATGGACCCTTGGGCTGTTTCCAGATCTTAGCTATTGTAAATTGTGCTGCTGTGAACATAGGAGTGCATACATTCTTTTTTATTGGTGTTTTAGGTTTCTTAGGATATATTTTTACAAGTGGGATCACTGAGTCAAATGGCAGTTCCATTTTAATTTTTTGAGGAAACTCCATACTGTTTTCCATAATGGCTGCACCAGTCTGCATTCCCAACAGCAAAGTACTACAGTTACCTTTTCTACATATCCTACTCAGCACTTGTCATTTGTTGTGTTGATGGTAGCTATCCTGATAGGTGTGAGGAGATGCCTCATTGTCATTTTAATTTGCAAGTCTGCGATGATCAGTGACTTTGAGCATTTTTTCATATGTCTCTTGGCCATCTGTATGTCCACTTTGGAGAAGTGTCTATTTAGGTCCTTCGCCCATTTTTCAATTGGATTGTTTCTCTTCCTTTAGTTAAGTTATATGAGTTCCATATGTATTTTGGAAATTAACCCCTTATCAGATATAACATTGGCAAATATGTTCTCCCTGCAATGGGCTCTCCTCATTTTGTTGATGGTTTCTTTTGCTGTGCAGAAGCTTTTTTATTTTGATGTAGTCCCATTTATTTATTTTCTCCTTAGTTTCCTTTGCCCTAGACGATGTGGCTCACCCCTAACCACATCTTGCGAGCTGTTGTGGAGGTGCTGACCAAACAGAACAAAATGCAACACAACAAAACATGAAACAGGAGAAACAAACAGAAATGTACACAATACCAATACAACACCAACAAAAGCAATCACTGGAGAAGAGAGCGTTAGGAAAGAGAAAAGAGAGCAAGGAAAAATATGAGGGGAAAACAAAACAAAAAAAGGCACAAACAAAATTAGAAAAGAAGGGACTGAATATGTAGATGAAATGCTGAAATAAAGAAAATACATATAAACAATTAGAGAAGTAAGGAAAGGAAAAGGATTTAAAAGGAAGGAGAAAAGAAAGAAAATTGGAAAAGGAAAATAGAGGAGATAGTGGAAAGACCTAAAATAAACAAGATGAGAAAGCAGGAGAAAAAGAAAAGGGGTGGAGGTGGGGGGTGGAATGAGTAGTGAAAAAAGACCAATGAAAAAAATTTGATTCAGAAAAGGGAAGAGGAAAATTAGATAGATGAACAAAACAACAGAGACTAGAATAATAGCAAATCAATAAAGCAGATAGATAAAGAAGATAGATTTAAAAAGGTGACAAAAGAAAAGAAAGAAAAATAAGAAAAGGTAAGAATAATGGGAGGAAAAAAAGTTTAAAACAAATAAGTGGCCTTCTTTTCAGTGGAGTTCAGTACCCCATGGGAGCTTGCTTTGGATCCCACTCTTCTGTCTGCTAATTCTGGGCTTCCCATCAGGTACTTAGGTGCTAACCACTGTCCGTGATGGTCTTTTGGCTTTCTGCAACCTGCTTGAAGCTCCAAGCTATCCACTATTGTACTGTTTGTGTCTGTCTCCACAGGCCTTGGTTGTAAGCATGAGGAGCCAATCTGCCCTCTAAAGTAGGTTTGTTAGCACAATGGGGCCAGGGCTGGGTCAGCAAACCTCCCCTGGTTCTCAAGTCTGGCTTCTGCCTGCCTTTGCCTGCTAGCCAGCTGTCAACCTCAATCACTCAAAAGTCCGTTTCTGAAGGGGCTGTAGGCAGGAGAGGTGCTGTTTAGCTTTTAGGAAATGTGGTGGGTGTGTTTCCCTGTCCAACAGCTATTCCTCTGTGAGTGGCCCAAAATGTTAGTCTGTCTTTGGCTTGACAGAGAATTTTGTATGTAGACTAAAGGGGTAGGCCGGAAACCTGGAGTTTTTTATCAGTTCTCCTGTGTGGGGAAAGTATCAGTATAGGTCCTAGGGTAGCGAGGTGGACGGCCCCTCCTTCAGTCCAGTTACTGAGGGCTCCTTGAGACTATTCAAACCTGTAAACTTGGCCTCTGATTTTGGTTCCTCTGAAAAGGTCAAAATGCAGGGTATGGCATGCAGGACTCCTGAGGGTGAGGCAAGCTATATCACCTAGGGCGGGTTGTTTTTTTTCTGTTCCTTCCCTGTCACTTCTGGGAGCAGCTAGCTCCTCTCGGGAAAAATGGCCATTTTGGTTTTGGGGGCCTATGACCAAATGTTCCTGGATGCTGTTTTTCCAAGTCTCCCTGCAATGCTTCCCGCCCCAGACTCTATTAGGCTCCTCAAGTCCGGGCCCCCCTCCCTGCTCCAAAGCCTTGGAGTGAGTAGCTGCAGATGAAAATTCCTGTGCTGTAGGGGTGGAGGGCACAAAGAAAGAAAACCAAAACGAAACTGTGGCTTTCTCTCCTACTGGACCTGTTCCATGGCTCCAGGCTCTGCTGCGGCCAGCAGGTCTGTCGCTTTCATGGTGGACACTAAGTGGGTTGCTGGTATGGGCTCTGGTGCTCTAGGCTGTAGAGCCCAGCCTGTGTTCTGGGCCTCTGTCTTCTGGGTCAGCTCCTCAGGACCTTGCCCTTTCTACCAGTCTCCAGGCGTTTTCTGTCCTTCCTTGATATGTCCCCTCCTCAGTTGGACTTCAGTTGGTAATTCCAGCTGAATGTTCTCCAATATAGTTGTATTTCCAGTTTGGCCCTGGGATGAGGTGCACAACAGGCCAGCCTATTCAGCCACCATTTTTCTCCCCATAATACATTTGTTAATGCCTGGTTTTTCTTTAGCTTCTTACTCAGTTTCAGAATGCTAAATAAATATTCCTTGAATATTCAAATTATTATTAATGATTGTATACGTAATAAGAAAAATCTGTAGCCCTCAACCCAATAACAATCTATAATGGATTTCTAAATCAGATTGCTGTGATTTAAAGTTTGTTCTGTACTATTTGTGTTTGAAAATAATTGATGATTAATTAAATGCGTTTGCAATACTTACTTTAAACTTAAAAGACTTTTTAAAAAAATACTACATTAGATTAAGCTAGTGATTTGTCCTAGAGTATCTTATCTGTATATAAAAGAACACAGTTACCTTATGTAGTGGTTCTCAAAGTGTGGTTTTCAAACCGGCAGCACCACCATCAGGTGGGAACTTGTTAGAAATACAAATTATTAAGACCAACTCCAAATATACAGAGTCAGAAACTCTGGGAATAGGACCTAACAATCTGTTTTAACAAGACCTTTGAGGATTTCAGTGCTCATCCAAGTTTAAGAACTACTGCCCTACTGTATAATGCAGACTGACAACAACTTCAATCTTGATTTTAACTATGAAACAATAAATTAAAGAAATGCTTTTAGTAAGCATGGGACTTCTGTTCATGGTTGCAATATTTCTAAGATATATTCTAAAATCATAATTTAGAATTAGATGATGATTGACAATGCTAATATATTGTGAGATTCAGTGATCAGAGATGTGCTTTAAGAAATTTAATCTTCAGCCAGGTGCAGGAAGTCTTTATAAGAGGTTAAAAGCAGGAAGACTAGGCCATTGACTGGAGTGGTACTAGTAAAGTAGCAATGAGAATTACACAGATGCAGTGGACAGGATCAGATCTTTGCAGAGTCCTTGAAGACCTTGAATAAAATGAAATGCTTAGAAAAAGGGGGGATTCAGAACTGATTTTGAAGGTTTAGGTCTGGATGAGTTTATTCCTATCACCATAGTATTTTACTAGACTGGAAAATATTTATAAGCTTGAAAATGTACAACGTAGTTATTCCTTCAAATAATATTACATGTCTATTTTGATTTTCACAGTAGGAGGCTCTACTTATGATGTACACATAAACATTGAGTATTATATTTAGGTTTTTAGGGTCTATTTTCATGGTAACATTTTCATGTTTTTGGCCATAGGAAAGCACTTTATAAAGAGGAGAAAGACAACTCTTAATATTTGTGTTCCTTATGTGAATATTTTTGTTAATCTTGAGACCCATATACCACAGAATGGGTTTATTCATTCAGCGGTTAAGTACTAATGTTATACCAGACATTGAGCTAGGTGCTGTGTAAGCAAATACAACACAATATAATATATTCTGTAATAGACATGCTCAGGTTACTGTAGAAACTAAGCAGAAGAATACATTATATGTTGTTTACCAACCACTACTGGTTAATACTTTTTCTCTCAATTTATAAGTTTTTTAAATGGTGCTAAAAAAAATGCAATTTGAAAACCAAGACTAAATGCTAAAGCAGAATTATCCAGGATGTGTTAAACATTTGGCTTTTGTTTGTTTGGTAATAGGTTCAACTTCTTGGGGCTGATGGCCTAGAGCAAGATGTTGCTGAGACTGAAGATGATGAATCACCAGAGCAGCGAGCCCGGAGACCAATGAATGCATTTCTCTTATTTTGCAAACGCCATCGCTCCCTTGTCCGTCAGAAACACCCCAGGCTTGATAACCGAGGTGCTACCAAGATACTGGCTGATTGGTGGGCTGTTCTTGATCCAAAGGAAAAGCAGAAATACACAGACATGGCCAAGGAGGTAGGTTCCAGGAACAAGGTTTAAGGTGTGGTTGTGAACAATCAATCCCATATTCCTCTGTCAGCAAATATGAAGGCCTACCAGCAGGAAGGTGAATCCTGAATTAGGTGTTAAGAGAAAACATAAGAGGTTTATTCCTATTTCTTTTCTTTTTTTTTAAAATACAGTTTTATTGATTTCAGAGAGGAAGGAAGAAGGAGAGAGAGAGAGAGAGAGAGAGAGAGAGAGAAACATCCATGATGAGAGAGAATCATGGATCGCCTGCCTCCTGCACGCCCCCTCCTGGGCATCGAGCCCACAACCCCGGCATGTGCCCTTGACAGGAATTGATCCTGGAACCTTTCAGTTCGAAGGCTAACGCTCATCCACTGAGCAAAACCGGCCAGGGCTTATTCCTATTTCTGAGTTCTGTGTTTACCTTTCAAACACTAATGGAGTGCCAAGAGCAGTCTATTACCAAGAGATTTTTTTCTCATTGTATGTACTCTACTGATTGATTTTTTATGAATGGTGATTTATTACGAATGGGTTTTTTAAAATAGTTTTTCTAGGAATTCAGCTTCTGCTGTCAGAAAGTGCCTGTGGTAAAGATGACAATCTTAGGTTACTTTGGTTGTGTCATGGGAAAGA